CCGTAAAAATGACTGTGACAGCCAAGAACCAAGATCGAATCGTCGTCTCGGAAAATTTCCTTCCCTTTGCTACTTAATGGGCTTTTATAAGCCCACTTAAGGTCCATTGTCACAATGGATACGAAAGTATTGCCGTTTTCTCTTAACCGATCAGAACTGTACGTCGTTTTAAAGAATCTTCGCATTAACAATGAGAAGCGCCAAAATTAAAGAGAAGACGCGAAAATGGGTAGAATTTTGCCGCCCATTAATCAACGACGCGAAATTCTCGAAACTCAGTCACCGTAGTTCTCAATTTCTTCAGTCACCGGACTTCGAAGGATCTAAACGAAGATGGTTTCCACAACCAGCAAATCGGATTCGAAGCATGAAGAGAAACAAACCCCAAACTCGAAAAACCCTAAAAATGTCTACCAAATCGGAGGTCTTCAAGTTGAATTCCCTTATCAGCCGTACGGAACGCAGCTTGCGTTCATGAGCCGGGTCATATCTACGCTTGATCGTGCCCAGAGAGACGGTCACTGCCACGCTTTGCTCGAGTCTCCCACCGGTACGGGCAAATCTCTGTCTTTACTCTGCTCGGTTCTCGCTTGGCAACAGAACTACAAATCCAGGCTTCTTAAAGGAAACTTGTCTCATTCGAAACCTGCGCCGGAAGCAGCCACCGACCCATTGAATCATGGAGGTGGATTCATACCTGAAACACAACCTTCAGGTTCGTAATGACTCTTATGAAATTGCATTTATGATTGGGAAGTAATTAATTATTAATGATTTTTTGGTTTATCTATGAATAGATACTCCTTTACCTAGCAATGTGGAACCAGCGGAAACTAAGAAGAGAACCAAAATCCCGACCATATACTATGCTTCGTAAGCATTACATTAACAATTTTATTGGAAATGTTGCTGATAAAATGACGGTTTTTTGCTTCTTATTATTGATTGTTTGTTTTTGTTTCTTAGACGGACTCATTCACAGATTACTCAAGTCATTCGTGAGTATCGGAAAACTGGTTACAGAGTTCCCATGGCTGTATTGGTATGCCAAAATTGATTTTGCTTTCTTTGAGGATTTGTTTTATATATGGTTAATCAAGATAATCTGTGTTTTTAACTACACTCATAAAAGTTGTTTTTTTTGTCTTTCTTTCCTGGATCCATCTTGTAAGGCTTCACGAAAGCATTACTGCACTAATCGTCATGTACATGGGAAAGAAAATGTAGATGAAGAATGGTATATTTCATCCATATTCATATCATCTCGCCATTGTTTTCAGTTGGGACATATCGTCTATACTAATTTATATTCTTTCTGCAGTCGGTTGCTCCTAAAAAATAAGGCAAATATACAATGTTCTGAGTTCAAGTGAGTTTTTCCCGATAATCTAAGTTCTTTGCTTTTCCTCTTTTGTTGTGATCTCGTCAAATCATGTAACTGTTTTCCTTAACTTTCAGGAACGTTAGTAAAATCACAGCTCACCCATCCCTTCAGCAAAGAGGTCACAATGAGGTTCATGATATTGAAGATCTTGTAAAAGTTGGAAAAAGTGTTAGAGGTTAGATTTGGTTTAATATTTGCTTGTAATTGATTGCATTTTTCTATTTCTTAATCTTAAATAGTTTCCTTGTAGGTTGTCCATATTATGCTGCCTGGTCAATGGCGGAGAACGCACAGTTAGTCTTTTGCCCTTATTCGTATATAGTTAATCCTGTCATTCGAGCAGGAGTTGAAGTAGATTTAAAAGGAGCAATTATCATCTTCGATGAAGCACAGTAAGTTTCAGAACCTTCTTAGTCTTAAGTATATTTACACTTATTTGCTGGTATGAAACATAAGTTTATTAGTTTTTAAGCGTTCTTGTGATTTTGGTGGTAAATTGCTCTACTAGACATTTTCCCTGTCCGCAGTAATATGGAAGACATTGCTCGTGAAGCAGGAAGCATTAACTTGGAAGAAGAGACTCTTTTCAGTATGCACACTCATTATTCCTGCAGTTATTCATGGTTTTGTTCATTGACATTTACTTTACTAATGTGGCTTTGTGTTATGCAGAATTGCAGAATGAACTAGAACAGATGAGCGTGGCACAGCCAATGATATATCAACCCTTGTGTGAAGTAGTAGATGTAAGTCATTAACTGCAAGATAATATTCAGAGGTATCTTTGCTGACTACTTTTTAATATTGAGTGTTCCATTTATTTAGGGATTGATAAGCTGGATTGGAAGAAAAAAGGATTCACTAGAAAAACGTGATTTTCAGCACTATTTCTCTAGGTAAGTTTCTTACTTATAGAATTTGAAAAGGGTTCCAACTAGATATTCTTGGTTTTCTTATTCTCCATGAGAACTGGTCTTGTTTGGACAACTCTTAACAGCTGAATACATTGTTACTCTATGCAGCATTGGTGACTGAAATGTGGTAATATAGTTCTCGTGATAACCCGCCCGAAATGTCAACTTCTGAGCATATATTTGCATGTAGGCATAATCTACATTGATATATTGTAGCGATCAGAGTTTCATCTAGTGTTAACAGAGCGAATGCTCCACCCATTGGTATTGGAACTTTCTTTTCCCAAAACATATTAAGTTGAGTAGGGAAACCGTCTTTGTTAAACAGTAATCAAGCATCTTATTAGTGCTACAATGATATGATAGCAGCTACATTCTCCTTTTGTTCATAGCTTGACTGTGACATCATTCAACCAATTTTTGTTTCTTTTGGTCAACATTCAACCAATTTTCTAAATAGTATCCATGTAGGTTTGAGTGAAAATGATACTTTTGCCAATGGGAGGTACTCTTGCACGCTCCCATGAAATGCAATTTTAGGGTTTAAGTTTGGTTCTGTTTTCTGATCATTCAGAGAAACTATTTTTCTTCTCCACATTTAGAGAACCTGATATATCTACATTTATCTTGTGATAGCTGGACTGGAGACAAAGCTTTAAGAGAGCTCGAGGAATCTAATATCTCGCAAGAATGCTTCCCAATCTTATTGGAATGCTTTACAAAGGTAACCAATTTCTTCTATGTTATCTGGCTAGGCTCACATGCCTTTATATGACATTGTCCTTGCTGGTCAAAGGCGATCAGAACATCAAAGGAAGCAGAAATGGAACCAGATATGGCTCATTTGAGTGGGATATCTGTCTTGACACTAGAAGGTTTTGTGTCTCTCACTTTATTAAGCATTGTTCTCTGCAATATCATTTTGAAGATGATAGCTTATCACACAGTATTCATGCAGAGTTGTTCTCTTCACTTACATACTTCTTTTCAAGAAATGGAACTCACATCTTAGATTACCAATTGGGGTTACAACGCTCTACCAAAAGAGGTACAAGTGAATTTTTTTGGGCCCATTTAACCAAATGTGTGAAAACTTTACCGTCTGTAAAAACAAAAGGTGTTCATAGTGCTCTATTGGGATGCAGGAAATTCTTCTGATACCTGGACGCATACTTTCAGTTTGTGGTGCATGAATCCGTCTGTTGTTTTCAAAGACTTAGCAGATCTTTCTTTATCCATCATCTTAACATCTGGGTAAGTAGTATCCTGTTGCTTACTATTGCTTCTGCAAATAATTATGTCATCCTTTTCAAAGTCATGTACATCTTTTTCTTCTGAATTTTGTTTCAAGCAATAACTGCTTGTTACCTACTATGTAATATCTTGTTAAAAACCACAATGTCATCAATGTACAATGACTTTTGGTTGCGGTCCTATTTGTATTTTAACATTATATCTGTTTACAGAATTCTACTCTTCTCCTTGAACCATTGGCTAGTGGTTTGCTAACTTTTCAATGTTTCTTGAGCCAGCTCTTTCAGTAATGGTTAAGTTTGTGTTTCTTGGTTGTCTGAAATATAGGACTTTGTCACCGATGAATTCTTTCTCATCTGAACTTGGGATGCAGTTTGGTACTTGTTTAGAGGCTCCACATGTGATTGATGTTAATCTGCAGGTTCTGACTAAAGCTCTCTACTTAGCAACAGCTTCATGGAAACTGAATATATGATTTAACAGCCTCTTTGTTCCAGGTGTGGGCTGGTGCAATTTCCAATGGTTCTGGTAATTATCCTCTTAATGGAAGTTATAAAACAGCTGATACATACTCATTCCAGGTACTTTTAGTCATTGGTTCAAGCTCTTTTTGCCAGTAAATGTATTCTTGTTGTACTTTGATGCATTATCTTCGTGTATTGTAAACCACAATGCTCTACTTTGCTTTGTAGGATGCTATAGGGAAATCGTTGGAGGAAATTTGCACTATTGTACCAGGTGGCTCTCTCGTATTCTTTCCAAGCTATAAGTTGATGGAAAAACTCTGCACACGTTGGCGTGAAACTGGGCAATGGTCTCGGCTCTGTTT